GGAATTTGTCAAAAGGGTGTTGTGTTATTCTTCATTTTAAGGTATCTAAATATGTATTTATTTTTCATTTTTTAGAATAAGTTTAGAACTAAATTGACTGGTTAAATAGTTTTTTTAGTGCAATGTTTCTTTTTTAAGAAAACAGTTTTGTCGTTAGCCTTTTTAAAACATTTTAAGCAGTATTTGTTTCATTTTTTAGAGCAGTTAAGAGAAGCTGATCGCTTTTTTAGTAAGTTCAAGTTATTTTCTCATACATAAATTAAGGTTTTCGATTTATTTCAGTCTATTTTATATTTCTCTATATCTACATATATATATTCTCTAAGGAAAAATAATAAGGAATAAAAAAATTAAGAAAATTTCTTCTGGAATTTGTCAAAAGAGTGTTGTGTTATGCTTCATTTTAAGGTATCTAAATATGTATTTATTAGAAATTTTTTTTAAACCAAGTTTAAAAAAGTTGTTAAACCAAGGAAATTGTAGAGGTTTATTTATCAATATATAATATAAATTATATACTAATATTGGAGGGAGTAAGTTAAAAAGCATTTTCAAATTTTTAAAAAAAAATAAAAATACTTTTCAATATATATCTGTTTTTTTTGAGGTAGATTTAAAGTTTCAGGTTATATATATATATATATATATATATATATATATATATATATATATATATATATATATATATATATATATATATATATATATATATATATATATATATATATATATATATATATATATATATATATATATATATAAATATATATATATATATATATATATATATATATATATATATGAACATATATATATATATATATATATATATATATATATATATATATATATATAAATATAATATATATATATATATATATATATATATATATGAACATATATATATATATATATATATATATATATATATATATATATATATATATATATATATATATATTTATATATATATATATATATATATATATATATATATATATATATATATATATATATATATATATATATATATATATATGAACATATATATATATATATATATATATATATATATATATATATATATATATATATATATATATGTATATATATATACATATATATATATATATATATATATATATATATATATATATATATATACATATATATATATATATATATATATATATATATATACATATATATATATATATATATATATATATATATATATATATATATATATATATATATATATATATATATATATATATATATATATATATATATATATATATATATATATATATATATTATGGGCTTAAATTATGAATAACTTATATTAAGTATTATTATATTTTAATACAAAGCAGTCTTATATTAACAAGTAGATAATGTAGTGTAATAAAATATATTTCTTTAATCCTTTTTTAAAGCTCATGCTGCTATGGTGTAGCAGAAATAAAAAAACTGCTATGGTGTAACAGAAATAAAAAATGAAATGTCTTTGTTTTGCTTTTTATTTCTGCTGCACTATGTATGGTGTAGCAGAAATAAAAAACTTTACAATTTTTACATAAAATTTTATGTTTATCTGTCTTAAATGTTTTGTTTGATTTCTTGCTCTTAATGTTATATCCCAATAACAGCATTTGTGATCTCCCAGAAGCTTCATTTTTTATCAATTGTCGTTCAAAAACAAGAGTTAGTAACTTTAAAAATAGCTTCAATACAATTCTTTAACATAAGTTGTGCAAAAACTGGTTGCAAATAACTTTTGCTTTGTATACTTTAGTAAAAAATCTATGATAATTATGTCACAAAAGCATTACACAAATAATGATCAACCTGCAAACATAATATAGAACTACTTTTAGAACTGTTTCCTTTATTAGTTTACGTGTTGAAGATGTTCCAGATTCAACGCCATTCTTTTTGAAAAGTTATTTATATTTTGCACTTTGTAGTTTTTGTTTCACTGTAAATGCTTAGTAATTCATTTAAATCTAATCAATATTAGAAAAACTAAAAACTAAAATTATTATAAAAAAACTATCCTACTAGTTAAACTGCTTAGACATTATAATTAAATTAAAATATTTTATTACACTTTATACTAAGTTCGTTGAATATTGCAACAAAAAAGTAAAAAATGCATTAAAAAAGAATACTCTTATGCTAAGACTTTCCCTATTTTTTAAGTATAAATATGCAAATATATGCTTTTAAACAGTTTGTATATGCAAATATATGCACTTATACAGTTAAAAAAAAAGCATACTTGCATCATAACAAGCAGGTCTTTAATAACTTTTTTTTTATATTACTTCCAAAAAATTTTACTGCAAAAAAAATTTGCAGATCTCAGGTAACAAAAGCATGAATATATATAAATATATATATATATATATATATATATATATATATATATATATATATATATATATATACATATATATATATACACATATATATATATATATATATATATATATAT